GACAGGTTACTGATATGATCAGAGTTCGACAGCGTCTTTGAGAGCTACGATTGCTAATCGGATTGTGCTTTCATTTATAGTTAGTAGACTTATCCAAGTGGGAGACTGTTGGATTAGTGTCTAAGCCCGTAACTATATTTGGTAAGTACTTGACCCGGTTGTGCATGGTCCTTTTGGGTTGCCTTCACCAAAGCAACTAGATAAGATGATTTATGAAGAGAGAGAGGTTATTATGGTTTAATAATATATTATGAGAATAATATATTAAAGGATAAATCATATAGTTTAATTAATATTAGACAAGAATTAATTAAGAATTAATTCTGTGGCTAAATGACATTAATTAAATAAAGGGGATTGAAACTGTCAATTGTGTGATAGTTGAATATTCGGCTGAGAATCCTTATGGAATAATGGCATGGACGAAATTGAGATGGAGCCCAACTTGAATTCGTCCAAGGAGGCCTTATTCCAGAAGTTTCCTTCGACTGCTTAAGGCCTAAGTTGTCCATTAGGGTTTTGACTGAAACCCTAGCAGCACAAGTATAAATAGAACCCCTAGGGCATTAGTTTTCGGCCACTTGAAACCCTAGAAGAGTTCATAGCTGAATTGTGCCTCTCCCCTCTCTCCAATATCATCCTCTTGCTTGTGTGGTGTTTGTAAGCCATTAGAGGAGTGGCATTTTAGACTCTAAGCTCCAAGACAAGAAGATTCAAGCCATTGTTGAATAGGTAATCTTCTAGATCTGTTTTCATATGTTATTTTCGAAATATACATGCTAGATCTAGGGTTCTTAAGTCTTGGATGAATTGCATGTACAATAGAGAAACCTAGATCCAAGCTTTAGGGTTTGCATGAGCACATAGGATGTTCTTTTGTATAAAACCATCACAGCCCCACCACCGACCATGAAAACCCCCTATAAATATGTGCTCCTACCCCTCATTTACACTTTTCTGGCCGCAAACACCCTCTCTCTCTCTAAACAATGTCACCTGAAAACACTAGATTTCTCTTCATCTAGCAGTCCATCCGCATTAGAACTCATTTTGGAGCATCAAAACATCCGTTTTTCATCAAATCGAGCTTTGATGTTCTTGAGTTCACGGCCGTACACCCTTCAAATCTTCAAACCTTCAAGGGCCGCAATCCGTTCACGGCCGTGAACCCTTCAAACATTCATATATTCTTAAAGAACACCGTTCACGGCCGTAAACCATTCAAGGGGCTGTTGACGGCCGAGAACAGTTCACGGCCGAGAACAGTTCACGATCAAGAACAGTTCACGGTCGCAAACCTTCCCAAGTCGTGAACTTGGCTGAAAACCCCCTTTCTCCGATTCAATCGAGTCCTGGTAACATTCTTAAACAAAAATCAAGTGTTTTTCCAACACTATAAATAATGGTTTCACTAATAAATGAATATGTGTATGTAATTGATATTAGGATCCCGTTAAGTGCCGCGTACATCAACCCGAGGGTCTTCACTCCCAGTTTCGTTGTTGGACACTTTCACGCAACTAACAGTGAGTTCATACCCCTATGCTTTTATGATTTTAATGTTTTCAGGGGGAGAATACAAGCCAAACACAAATGATTTTGTGAATTTATACAAAAAGGACTTTAACACACTTAAAACTGTTGCAATTGATACAACCTTACATTTTCCACATTTTTATAGAATATTTATAGATATTTTATCCCTTTTGTAACATGCTGAGCATAAGGGACGTTTTCAACTTACAAGCGTAATTACAAAGTTTTTCAGATCAATACATAACATACATAAAAACTATAATAGGTATAGTTTGGGAATTCAGTACACGGTTTTTCATATACAGGCATATAAACTATTATAAGAATATAGTTTAGGGAACGAACATATCTTTTTATAAACTTATCCGTTATTTATAAAAAGGGTTTTTCGAATTATTACTTGTAAAGTCGTTTATCTAGTTTGAGAGACACGTTTTTAGGTACAATTAGATGTACTAGTGGAAGACTACCCTTATGAACCAGAGTCTCCTCGAGTAAGAGCGTGAGTGTGGGTATAGATCTATACGGGACTGACAATCCTGCACCTTGTTGTTAGCTACAGTAGGACCGGCAGGTCTACGGGTGACAAAGTCATAAAGGATATTGGCGTCCGATTCACGTCGTATCAGTTAGTATGGTCATAAAACTCGCAAGTAGATAGCAACGATATATTTACGTAGTAATATACTTTTCCTGAACAATGCTTTAATAATATAAGTATGGAAAATACTTGTATTTTTCAGTTATGGAACAATTAAAGCGACAACATACATTCAGGGGGAAAATATAGGATTTTCTCGGACAAACATCAGTATTTTTCAAACAATCAGTCTATCATTCAAGCATCGAATATTCATTGTTAATTCTATAATCTCTTAGTTTATACATCCGGGTCACGTATGAAGAATATTTGATAGACCGTGGAATGTGTGGTTTCCGCTCCATCTCATGTTCCTTGTTTGGTTGTGGGTTTAGGGCAGATCCATACAATTAAATGTCTGTTCGATATTGGTTTACACGTAGCTAGTATGAGTTAAGAGATTATAGAAGAAACTGGTATTATCATACTTATCTTGACTTTCATTATATCAGTAATTATAAGGCTTTTTTGAAGAAACATATCACACTTGTCAACGAACTCAGAACCTGTTTTTCTAAATCAAAACGCTTATGAACTCACCAGCTTAAATGTTGATCTACTCTTTCAAAATAACTTGTATTCTCAGGAAATCAGTAGACAGATACTCCCGCAGCTTTTGAGAAGACGGAGCATATAGAGTCACGTCTTTATAGTTTTGCTACTTTTGATGTATATGTATCTGAATCAAACAGATGTAAATACCTTTTATATATTCAATGTAATGATTGTGTTTACTTTGATTACTATGATGCAATTGTTGTGATACTACACATGACATCCTCCACCCCTGAACGTTTCCGCTGTTTCGGTTTGGGGGTGTGACATTTAGCGACGACATGTCGTCGCTAAATGTAATAGCGACGACACGTGGCACCAATTGCGACGATTTATGTTGTCGCTAAAGGGTACCTTTTTTGTTGTGACATTGACATTCTCTATCATTTCATAAGAGAATGGGCTGAGGAAGGATAAACTGTAGTAGAACATGTAGACTCAAAGTATCAACGAATGGGCATCTTTACAAAAGCATTGGCACATGTGAAGCATGGCGAAATGTTAAAAATATGCTCGGGGTGATGGATACCGAGATTGGTCCTGTTTAATGGGGAAAATGTGATGTTAAACCAGATAATATTAATTAGAATTGCCGGATAGCACGTGTCATTATTTTTATTGAATTAATAGATATTCTAGATACTTTTCAGGATTTGTGAGATTTGTCTGGATATGGATAGATTACTTTTAGTACCATAATATTATAATATTAGTCTTGTTAGACTGTATATTTGAGTGGTGCTCAACGTTTGAATGCATTCGGTTATGTAACCGTCTATCTTTATTTAGTAAACTCAAAAAACTTGTAGAAATCCTTATGTCTTACTTATTTTCTCTTCCGCTTTCATTATATTTTGGTAGCTCATATTTTGAATAGTAACTCACCTTTAACATAGCATACAATTTGGTAAGATATAATTTAAGCAAGCACATCGATTTTTTTTGGGTACAAATTATTGGATTTCCGCGCTGGTAACATATAATTTAAGCAAACACATCGATTTATTTTGGGTACAAATTATTGGATTTCCGCGCATTAGAAGCGCTAAGGGGTTGATCTATTTGTTGATGAAATTGATACAAATCCAAGTTGATTTGATTAATTCATAATTTGACTATTATTTGATCGTGTTTGCATGCTATTATTGTGTCATTTTGGGATATAACAATGTTAGGTTTCTCATGAACTTCATAGTGCTCCTTTGTAGTACAATAGTGGTTACTTATCCTTTCAACCTTTCATCCATGAATATTTTCTCATTTTTTTTTTGTTGGTTCTTCGTCTGAGTTTGCTGGTTTATTTGTTTACAGCTATGCCAAGTATAGACAATATATAGGTGTTAAAAATCTATTGCAAAATTTTTCTAAAGCTAGCCCTTTAAGGCAGATAGAAAGGAGGTAGTTCCCTAAAGCTACTTTGGCTTTGTGAACATTAAGATGACAAGTATTCACCTGCAGGCTGCATTAATACTCTCTCACTGCTAGAATTTTTCGTGGCTGATGAGGAAGTGTCATGTGTAGGCCTTTTACGAGGTGACCAAAAACGTTTAGGGGGAACTTTCAACGATTCAAGGCTTCCTTCCAACATCTCCACAACATTAGTGATGGATGGCCGATCCGATGGATCAGACTGGATGCACCACAAGCTTACTATCACCATCTTCCTCACTAATTGTTCTTCCTCTTCAGTTGTCACTCCATCAACCCCTAGATTCTCTCCACCTTCTACATGCTTGTATATCCAATCCGGAAAATATGCTTCACTAGTGCTTGTCGTGTTGGAGCTTTTCTTTTTACGTACACCCGTCATTTCAAAAACCATCATCCCATAACTATACACATCAGATTTATGAGACGCCCCACCAAAACTCTTGAAAAATACTTCAGGGGCCATATATCCAGCGGTACCTCTGGCACCTGTTACAGACACAATATTTTGTTTCCTCTTGGACAGCTTAGCCAACCCGAAATCAGATATTTTTGGGATAAATTCTTCGTCCAATAGAATGTTGTGTGGCTTTATGTCAAAGTGTACAATCCTTGTGTTACAATGTTCATGTAGGTATTCTAGACCTCGTGCAATCCCTTTTGCAATTCGGAATAATGTGTTCCAGTCAAGATGAGATCCATCATCACGTAGAAACTTATCCAAGGACCCATTTGGCATGAACTCATACATGAGGGCTCTTTTCTTTCCCTCAAAGCAGAAACCCAAGAGTGTAACTATGTTGACATGAGAAGTTCTACCGATGCTAGCAACTTCATTAATGAAATCTTCTCCATCTCCCATGGGTTTACCCAGGAGCTTTACAGCAACTAGCTGACCATCGGGCAATTGTCCTCTGTAGACACTTCCATACCCTCCTTGCCCTAGTTTTTCTCGGAATGTGTTTGTAATTTTCTTGATTTCTGAATACGTATATCTTTTCGGGGACATAGATCCGAAGTTCTTGATGAATATTTCTACTTGATGATTTTTGATGGTTTCCTGTTGTCGATACCCGATGCTACATTACGTTAGGAAGCTGATAGAAATTCAAATGAAAATTCTTACGCAAATGTTATTGTGAAGATTCAGATTCTTACACTCCGTAGAGCAGCTTGAGTTTCTGAGAAAATCTTTTTACGACAGAGTATCAGAAACAATATGAGCATGATTCCTGAGATACCGCATGAAATACCTACAGTTTTTACTTGATGGTTAAATGTACATTTAACAAAAGAAATGAGGAAATTTTCCAAAAGAGAGGTACATTTTGTGCTTTACAAAGATTTGGTAATCTCTCAAGATTAAACTAGTGGATATATAAAAGTTGGTGTACATACCAATTATAAGCTTCAACGCATGTCCCTTGGTTCCTGGTTCTGGAAGTAGGTAAAAGCTAGGTAAGCTTATTGATGGAGATGAGAACATGAATAATATGGATATATAACTCAATTAAAAGTGTTACAGTGACTTTGTTGGATTAATCGGTTGTTTAAGTGTAATTTGAGTCCATAATTTTCTTTATGCACAATTTGAATAAGGAAATGTAGGATAAGGTTAATTGACTAATTCTTAATGGGCACATTGGGTTTAAGAATATGGGTCAATCCTTGTACTGGTTCTTTAGGTAGCAATGGCTTAGTAGATAGTATTTTATTGCTTGTTTTATGTTGTGCTTATCTGTTGTTAGTTTGTAAGCATATATAAGGCATATCTTTGATTTAATTAAAGTAACCCCAAGAAAAGCACCTTCAGTGCACATCGTGAGTTTTGAGTAGTGTGTGTTGTGTGTGTTTTCAAGGACCTGTACCAACAGACTTGACCTTTACACTATATGATATGCTGAGCCAAAGTTAAGCAAGAAAGAAACATAATTAATTTAATCTGGTGATAGTCAGCATATTGATATTTGTTTGTGGTGTGTGGGAGTGTGTCGATTGTTAAGTAATTCTTAACTGTGTAGGGAAACATTAGATTAGTAGGTTTAAGTAGGTTGAATGTCCTAGCCAAAAATATAAACTTAGCACCAGTTGTTAAAAAAACAGATCAGAAGACAATTAAAATGATCTTATAAAAAAGAATTACCTACGTCTGCATGTGGATCATTGAAGAATTTATGTTTAGAATACCTAAAGAAACACCCTGCATTCATAATACTTCCTTCAAAACATCTCACGACTTCCAATTTTGCCTTATTCAAACAAACTCTACACTGTGACTGATTCAAACTCTCCCAACACTGCGCCAATCCATAAATACCATTCATTTCCATTACCCCAAACCCATTGTTTAATAATGCTGATTGCGTAAGATTTCCAACCAAATTGGCAACACGTCTATCAAATTCCGAACCACCTTCAACAAAACTGGGCCAACTTGGACTCAAAGAACAGTGTTTATAATCAATTGCAGCATTAACAGCTTCTTGAAAAAAGCTATAGTTATCGTAACGTAGAAAGCATCCGTCCAGGAAGACCAGGCCCCAGGTGCTGGGAACGCAAGTGGCAAGGTCGTTACGGCTGGCCGCATAACAAACAAAACAATCAGTACGGGAAAGATCTTGGTGGCATTGAGCTAAGGCATAAAAAGGTGGTAGATTAGGATTGGTGAGGCTTGTGACAGCGAAGTTGTTATTTGAGTTGCTAAGATTGATTAATAATTTTTCCATTGCTTGTACGAATAATGGGATGAAACTTTCTGTAGTTGCTTGGTCCATGCCGCATAAAGTTTTGCCCATCAAGCTTAAACGAGGATCGGAATTGACGGTGGGAAATGAAAGATTTAGGAAAAATAGGATTAACCATGTGGAAAAATCGATTGAGAAAAACATAAGTCTGTTTTTACGTTTTATTGATGAAGACGTTGTATTCATATCAAGTGGGGTGCTT